GAGAGAGAGAGAGAGAGAGAGAGTTATTACCCTTAATTCATGCCCGGGGGCTAATTGCAAACAGACATTGACAAGATGTGGTGATATAAGACTATTTGCTAACATGAAGTTATACGTGTACGTTATACTTATCAAACCTACTGTATCTCTAATTAAATCTAATAACGTTGGAATACATACAGGATATAAAAGGCTAAAATCGGATGAAACAAAAAGGAAGACGAAGGTAAATCAGAAAATAAAATAAAAGAAGAAACGTCTTATTGCATCTCGGAGAGGGAAGCTGGAGAAGCATCGGGGTAAGTGGGGAACTTTATGTTCAGATTAATTATTCATTTTTGCTGTGTTATGCATATTTAAGCTGTTTTGCCACATTTTACATGTTATTCTTGCCATCTTGGTTCTTACTTCTAGTCAACCACGACTGAACGTGTCTTTGGTTTTTATGTAGTTTATTGTCACCCATGTTCTCTTTGTATTTGAATTATTTCATATTTCTTGAATAAAATTCTTGGGAAATAAAAAAAAAAAAGAAACGTGTATCTTTGAAGAACTTCCCTACCTGGTGCTAAGCTGTGCAGCTGCCTCCACAAGCCCCTTCATCCAGCGTGCGTGTTAGTAAGCCATTCTCGGACCTGGTCATGTTGTTGGGCGTCCTGTCGTTCAGCGACCGTCCCCCGTGACGACTTGGACGTCCACGTGCACAGCAGGCACTCCCGGAATCCCGAGTGGCTGTTGTACCCGTGGAAGATTACGGGGCTGCCCTCAGATCATCGTCGGTGAGGATTCCGTCCAGAGACTGAACGATGGTGCCGAGCGGTCCGGCTTGAGCTCTTCTGCCGTCCATGGCGCCACGACCTGCCTTTGGACGGCAACACGCCGTTCGTATCATGGGGACCACTTGCTTGTAGCCATACTCTTTCTGCTCTTGTCTCTTCTTCCAGGGCCAAGACTTTAGCTACATTCGCAATTGCCTAGTAATGTCGTAAAGAACTCGTGAAGACCAGAATGACCAGAACAGACACGGCCGTTGCCATCATTGTTGCCGAGTAAGCTGGTGTGTTACGCCGAAGGGCGGTTATACCGTACCGGCTATACCGATACAGGTACAGATGGTGCACACCTTGTGTAACATATACACTGCCGGAGGGCTGCGTCCGAAGAATAGAGTAGCCAGACTCAGTGTAACAACCCACCTTGCAATTGGTCCAATTAAACGTTACTCCCGATGACAAAAAACAGTCATTGTTCTGAGCTTAAGTGCTATATGTGTTGATCTAAATATGTTTATTAGACCGTGTAATTGTGTGTTTGAAAATGCCTGTTTCATCGCTTGGGGCAAATGAAAAATATTCGTAAAAATCATCTTGTAGGACTTGAAATGGAAAACCGGGACACCCAATGCCCATATCAGTTTACTTTGAAACCTGGTGCATTACATTTTACATTATCAAACTGTTTAGTTGGACCACTTCAGTCAACGAAGCCTATGAAATAAAATAAAAAATTAAGAATTAAAAGACAATTCCTACCGACCCACAACACTTGTATTATTGTCTATTGTCGTATGCATTCTAACTTATTCATGACGTTAATCATAGTTTTAAAAAAAAAGGTCAAAAGAAATGTATTTACTCTTAGTCCGTGGTCCTCAACTGCGGTTCTTGTTCTTTTGCTTCTGAAATATTTGACAAGGAAAAGAAGTCTACAAACGACAGGATTTTGACATTAAATGGTAGAATGGTTCCTCTGTCCAAACTTAAGGCTAATTTGGTGTCTCCACTACTGATTGTTTACGAAGAGTCGTGCAACACCGCGACGAACTTCCTTCAGACGAAATCCGTAGATAACGGGGTTGATGGCAGAGTTCAAGATGATGAAGATCATCGTGTTATACACAGAGACCATGTCTGTAGACATCTGAGCCAACATGACGAAGAACGGCATCCATCCCACCAGGAACACGATGGTGATGATGACGATGGTGATGGCAGATTTCCTGTTGACGCTCGGCTGGGCTCCCACCGCGGCTTCTTGTGCAGCGATGGCGTTCACGTGCTTCCACAGACACCAGAAGATGCCCAGGTTGAAGAGAAAGATTGCCGCCATCGGGATGAAAACAAACACGAGGACAGCGATCACGTAGTTTCGGGACAATCCGGCACCTATTGGAAGGCATGCGTCGTCAAAACGCCCTGCACAGCTTGAGTCAAGCTGAGGCAGTATCGCCATCAGCAGTGACCAAACCCACACGACAACGATGACGACCTTGCACTTGTCATTGGTGACGTTGGCGACGTAACTCATCCCGCGCACGATGAACCAGTAGCGCTCAGCCGTCAGGACCATGAGACCGTTGGCAGAGGACATCCCGGTTAGTAGGATTAATGACAACCTGAGACGTAACATGAAATCAGAGGGAACAGTCTCCGAAAAAGCGACATACAATTGCGAACTAGTCCCAATCACGAAAGCTATGCCGGTCAAAACATCGCCTGCTGCAAGATTAGCCATGAGGATGTAGACTGGCTTGTGGAGTTGTTCATGCTTGATGATGGCTGCTAGCGGGAGGCTGTTTGCCACAACAGACCAAACGCCCAGACACATAGTAATGCCTACCAAAAACAAAGAATAGGAAGTGCGGTACTTTTCCAAAGAGTAGGAAGATGAGATCTCCCTCGGGCATTGGACGCCTGAAGTGATATTTTCTCCTACGCCAGTGCTGTTACTAGCTGCAGAAGTACAGTTGTCAGACGTCCCATTCCGGATCCCCGGTAGTGAATCGCTGGGTTTGTCACTGACCTGGTTTGTGACGTTCAGGTCCGACCCAGACGTCGGACGTATTCCAGCACAGCAACTTGCGACGTGGAGAACCACCAGCACTGTAGTAACGGAGCTGCCTCTGTACATCATCTTTCCGTCGTGAGGCATGAGTTGGGATCTCTCTGAAACAAAGCACAATCGGCGTCTTATAGACGGTATTTTCTCTCATTAATTTCGGCGACACCACTTTTTAGCTGCCCGGTTCAAAAGGATTTCAATTTGATATCGCGCAGAGACCAGCTGATCACTCGATTTGGTCGGTTTCTTTTTCCTAGCCTCGAGTACAGCCTTGTTAGCTTTAGTCCGCTCCCCAAAACCCGCTAGCCCGGATCATTGGAAGCGGAGTAAAACTAACAAGGCTGGACTCCAGACTATCTTCCCCCGTTCTTTTGATCTAGTGTGTGAGGAAATGATGTATTGGTGGCACCTGGATGGACACAATCTCAATCTTTTTTATGTTTTGATGTATGCTTTCGATAGATTAGACACCCGCCAAGTAGCACTTTCTAGACTGAGGGTTGTTTGGGCTTCCGTTTTCAATTTGCTTTTTGCACCTGGATGGACACAATCTCAATCTTTTTTATGTTTCATGTATGCTTTCGATAGATTAGACAGCCGCCAAGTAGCACTTTCTAGGCTGAGGGTACTATGAGGTTCTGCTCTTCACTTTGCTATGTGATCTTCTCTGACGGTGTTTACATTAATTATCATCTGGCATCAACGTTATTGACAAGAATCTTTTACATTATATACGTAGTTCAAAACAGCTCATACGGTAGAGTCAGATGCATGCAGAATCACGCTTGTCTGTTGCGTGGTTCAACTACATCCTGGATAACTACTCATGGTCTCAGTAGAAACTGTTTTCAGTTCGCCAGTGGAAAGAATATTTCGCTAAAACTCTTTGAAATCAAGCAACGCAAGCTGATTCACTAAGGAATCAAAATTAACCACAGCAACGAATTAATCACTAAGTTCTTAAACGTCTGAAATCAACGGTTGGAACAAATGATATAGTATTAGTTAAGAACAAGTTAGTTAAGAGCTCTAAGATGGACGCCTCAGGGCAGGAGACCTAGAGGACGACCGAAGGAAACATGGCGAAGAACCATCGACAAAGAAGTGCGGAGCCATGGTTTCACTCGCGATGAGGCACCAAAGATGGCAGCGGACCGGGCCAGATGGAAGACCTTCCTTCTGCCTTAAGAGCCATGCTGGCTCAGAAGAGGACTAAGTAAGTTAAGAACATGCGCCAAAACCAACTTGGGCATTTCATGACCTAGGCTGTTGCCACTGTTTCAGGACTGCTAACGGGTTGGTTATTCCGGGAACATGTGTGAACAGGGGATGTAGCTCAGATGGTAGAGCGCTCGCTTAGCATGCGAGAGGTACGGGGATCGATACCCCGCATCTCCAGAAATCTTACTTTCCAGTTTTAACTTTTGAAAAGAGGCTTAAGCTTCTTTTTCGCATTTGCTACTTTTCTTCTTTCGGATTCCTGTATTCCTTCGTAAATCCCAGGCTAGGTCATGATTCTTTTTACAAAACCCCAATAGAACCCCGATGTCCAGTTTGCTTCAACCACACTGGTTGGTGTTTGTTAAGCAAAGACAGCTATCAGCATATCTAGCACATGTGAACGGGGATGTAGCTCAGATGGTAGAGCGCTCGCTTAGCATGCGAGAGGTACGGGGATCGATACCCCGCATCTCCAACTGTTTTTTTTTTTCTTTTCTTTTTACAATACAGTGGTATATTTAGATTTAGGAACGAGCTCGGGGCATTTTTTCGTAATTTTTTTTTCTTGTGCTTCTTTCCTCTAGAAATTTTTATCATTATTAAAAGTTTTATTATATTGCTTGTGCATTTTGAAACATCGATCAAATTCGACCACACAGATTGGTAGTCTATGATTCCACATTGAAATAGAATCCAAGCAAGCAAATTGTATCATATCCACACATTTAATAGTTGGTAATATCCACATAAACATACTTTTTTTTTATTAGCTAAAAGTTGACTTTCCCCGTTTACGATAAAATCCAAAGCACTTTTAACACCTTTAACAACATGTAAAGTGAACTCAACAATGTATCAAACTTGCGTACCCTTCAATATACAATATCATCATAATTCAAAACATAGGGTTAAAGAAAAGGTACTTAGTCTTAGTCCATAGTCCTGAGCTGCTTATGGTTCTTGCTTGTGTTTTTCCTTTTGAAATATTTGGTTTTTGACAAGCAAAAAAAGGGCTACAAGTGACAGATTTCTAATATTTAGGTGGTAGATGTTTTTTGCTGTCCAACTAACAACTAATTTGGCATCTCCACTATTGATTGTTCACCGGGTTCACGAAGAGTCGTGCAACACCGCGACGAACCTCCTTCAGACGAAATCCGTAGATAACGGGGTTGATTGCAGAGTTCAAAATGATGAAGATCATCGTAAAATAAACAGAAATGGTGTCTGTAGACATCTGAGCCAACATGACGAAGAACGGCATCCATCCCACCAGGAACACGATGGTGATGATGACGATGGTGATGGCGGATTTCCTGTTGACGCTCGGCTGGGCGCCCACCGCGGCTTCTTGTGCAGCGATGGCGTTCACGTGCTTCCACAGACACCAGAAGATGCCCAGGTTGAAAAGGACGATTGCCGCCATCGGGATGAAAACAAACACGAGGACAGCGATCACGTAGTTTCGGGACAACCCGGCACCTAGCGGGACACATTCTCCGTCAAAACGTCCTGCACATTGCGAGTCAAAGTGGGGCAGTATCGCCATCAGCAGTGACCAAACCCACACGACAACGATGACGACCTTGCACTTGTCATTGGTGACGTTGTTGACGTAACTCATCCCGCGCACGATGAACCAGTAGCGCTCGGCCGTCAGGGCCATGAGACCGTTGGCAGAGGACATCCCGGTTAGTAGCGTATACGAAAACCGGAGACGTAACATGAAATTAGAGGGAATATTCTCCGATAGAGCAACGTAAAATAACGAGCTAGTCCCAATCACGAAAGCTATGCCGGTCAAAACATCGCCTGCTGCAAGATTAGCCATGAGGATGTAGACTGGCGTATGGAGCTGTTCATGCTTGATGATGGCTGCTAGCGGGAGGCTGTTTGCCACAACAGACCAAACGCCCAGACACATAGTAATGCCTATCATGTACATAGTCCAGGCAGGGAAGTAGGTTTGAAAAGGGAAGGAAGTTGGGGTCTCCGACAGACATTCGTTTACGTTTGACGTTATAATTTCTCCTAAAGCAGAGCTGTTACTAGTCACAATGGTACAGTTTTCTGAAGACCCATTCCATGGCAGTGGTGTTGAATTGTTTTGTTTGTCACTGTCCTCACTGACCTGGTTTGTCACGCTCAAGTCCGACCCAGTAGCAGGACTTATTCCGACACCTGCTGTAGAGAAGATTGTGACGTAGAGAACCACCAGCACCACCCGAATGTAGACACCTCTGCACACCATCATTCCGTCCTGAGTTACAATCTCTCTGAAACAAAGCACGTAGGTTGGTGCCTTATAAATGGCATTTTCTTTCATATTAGATTGGATGACACATTTGCATTTAAACTCCGCTGTTTTAAAAGACTTTCAATTTGATTTCCCGTCGAGACCAGCTGATCCCAGCTGCCGGTTTCTTTTTCCCCGTTCTTCTAATGTCTGTGTGTGTTGTGGGAGGGGGAGGGGAGGAGGTATGCACAACGGCACTTGGGTGGACAATATCTTGATCTTTTTAGCTGTCGAGTAGCACTAACACTACTTCTAAATCTTTCATATCACGTTGCTTAAAACATGTTAATCGTCATAGTTTCTATATGACCTAAGATCAAAAGTATAATATATTACCTCTCAGTTTATGACGTCCTAGCCTGTTTGTGGTTGTTGTGCGTTTCTTCTGCTCTGATACATTTGATTTTTGACAACCACGTAAAGAAGTCTACAAATGTCATATTTCTAATATTGTAGTGGAAAAACGGTTGCATATATCGCTACTTGGTTAACGCCGCTGCTGAGCACTCCCAAGAAGTCGTGCAACACCGCGGCGAATCTCCTTCAGACGAAATCCGTAGATAACGGGGTTGATTGCAGAGTTCAAGATGATGAAGATCATCATCTTAAACACGGAAACCATGTCAGTAGACATCTCGGCCACTTTGACGAAGAACGGCATCCATCCCACCAGGAACACGATGGTGATGATGACGATGGTGATGGCAGATTTCCTGTTGACGCTCGGCTGGGCTCCCACCGCGGCTTCTTGTGCAGCGATGGCGTTCACGTGCTTCCACAGACACCAGAAGATGAGCAGGTTGAAGAGAAAGATTGCCGCCATCGGGATGAAAACGAACACGAGAACCGCGATCACGTAGTTTCGGGACAATCCGGCACCTAGCGGGACACACTCTCCGTCAAAACGTCCTGCACATTGCGAGTCAAAGTGGGGCAGTATCGCCATCAGCAGTGACCAAACCCACACGACAACGATGACGACCTTGCACTTGTCGTTGGTGACGTTGTTGACGTAACTCATCCCGCGCACGATGAACCAGTAGCGCTCGGCCGTCAGGGCCACCAGGCTGTAGGCGGAGGACATCCCGGAGAGCAGGAGCGACGACAGGCGGAGGTTGAGCATTACATTTGAGGGGAGTGTCTTGGTTAGTACGGTGTACAATTGTAAACTACATCCCACTGTGAAAACTATGCCGGTCAAAACATCGCCTGCTGCAAGATTAGCCATGAGGATGTAGACAGGCGTGTGGAGCTGTTCATGCTTGATGATGGCTGCTAGCGGGAGGCTGTTTGCCACGGCAGACCAAACGCCCAGACATATAGTGATGCCAACGTACAACAGAAGGTATTTATCGTCAGAGATATATTTATCAAGAGGAAATGGCGTTGTTTGCACTTTCTGCAGATCTTCGTGGACGATTGCATTGATACGCCCTCCTACAAATGACCTGTTGGCAGTAGCGACTGAACAGTTCCCGGAGCAACTACTTGGCCGTGTTGAATTGAGGAACGAACCTGTTTCCTCGCCGACCTGGCTTGTAGCGTTAAAATCCGGTGCAGAAGCAAAGTTTTCCTCATCACAGCAACTTGTGGAGAGAACAGAAAGCACGATCGCAATGTACACGTAGCTCCTGCTCATCATCATTCCGTCGTGAGTCTCTCTGTAGCAAAATATTGTTGCCGTCGTTTGAATCGTGTGAATGGTATGTTTCACTGGTAGTTACATTTGATAACCTTAAGGCTGAAGGCCTCTACTTAACGTTAAACGAATCATATATTTCGTGATTACGTCTTATCTATTCCAGCTGATCCCACAGTGCGGTCTCTTTTCCCCGTTCTTCTAGTTCAGTTACTAGGCATACTAGGCATACTTTGCTCAACCCTGCTATATCTCTTTATGTTACGTTTGTAAAGTGGATTTCAATTAGACTGAGAGTACTTTGAAAATAACCGTCACTTCCGCTTTTTACTCAGCCATCTCTAGTTAGACGATGTTGAAAGTGCTTTGATTGATTGAACTGCCTTTTACATGTACGTGTAGCAGGAAGTACATGTATACAGCAAGACAGGGCAGTTTCTATACTGACCTAATAAAAAAGCAGAATCACTACCGTGACTCGACTACATTCGAAAGGGTTAATGGTCTGTTTCCAGGTAACCAGTGGAAGTTTGTGCTGTATTTTATCCAACTGGTACCCCACAGCCGATGAGTGCAAGTGTTCATAGTAAAACGTGAACTTCATTGCAACACACAAATTACAATCAAATTTCGCCTGTCAAACTGTCGCCTTCATCAGGATAATTAAGAGATGGTGGACGATATAAACTCCCTGGCACTTTTTATCGCTAACGTCACATATCAGTAAAGTCTCGTGTGAATAAGGTCACGTGTTTGTAAACCGTAACTCTCGCGAGATCACGTTGTGAAGTGATTGGTCATTGATTATCCTGATGAAGGCGACAGTGGTCGCTGAAAATTTGATTTCTCTGTAAATTGTGTGTAATAATGGTATAAGTTCACGTTTTACTATGATAACTACCAACACGGATGAACTTTCATGAGTACTAGTGTTGTAGGTTGCCAAAGAACGGAAATCCAAACGACAGGTGTCAGATCAACTGTGATAGCACTGGACGATTCCTTACGTTTTAGTCCCGATGTATGGTCAGGCTTAAGATCCATACGTCTATGACTGCAATTGTTATTGTCAACATGCACATTTCTACCAACTATTATGGATAAAAAAAACGGAACAATGGCTGAAAAAAAACTTTTTCTAAAAATGGGTGTGGCCCAATAATTAGTGATGACGTCGTCTTTACGTCACAAAAAACGCATAAATTATCGTGTTATAACATGTTACTTATCTCAATGAGAATCTAACTGTCAACGAAACTGTTATTTTCTAAACAGTTAAAAAGTCCTCAGCCATGCCACCCTTCTCTACTCATCTATAAGGCCACAGCAAGTATTTTTTATGGATGATATCAGCGCGCGCATCAATTTTCGCCTGATTTTTGGAAAAATCTTTTAAAGAATTTTGCCTTCTGACAGAGGTCAACATGCCGAAAAATGGGCAAAGATGTCTGTTGCCATTCTGGAAGGTGGATGGTAGATAATTATGAAGAGAGGAGACAAGAAAAGGCTCTGATTTAATGTTTTGTTTCTTATTTTGATGCAGCGATATGCGATGCTGACTGTGGATGTGTGATATTCTTACTGGATCAAAACCATTTGTACAATGATTGAGTCAAAATTTTGAATTGTAGAAACCTTTTTTTTCGACCGGCTTTAACCTTGTTTTTTTCGCTGCTCGCATTAGATTTGGAATATGCGGAGGATGTCATTCATGAAATTTACTTGCTGTGACCTAAGAAGAGGTTTTGTATGCTTACAATACCTGTCTCCTATGTGCCGTATCGCGCGTTGAAATCATCTGGGGTAAAGGAGCATCGTGGATTTATGACATCTGTACTGGTAAAAACAAAGTGAAAAAAATTGTCTAAATATTGCCTCAAACGGAAAGGTTCGTGCATATGAATAGCACAAAATAAAAATAATGCAAATAAATTCAATTAAAATGCAAGCAAAGAATCAGCATCCAGGACTCCAACATACCACCAAGTGTTTGATTATACAATGTACTTACGCCAAAAAGCAGTTACTCGAGCAACTCTGGATATGATTTTGGAATCAAAATCATACCCAGCTGCTTGACTGCTTTTTGGCGTATATTATTAACTGGATGTCTAACCTTTACCGACGTATACATGTACTTAATTGACCGAATTAAAGTTGGGTGAGGCAAAGGAACTTGTAAACAAATGGACGAATTTGGCCTATTTAGTATCTTGTTTGCGAGGAAAATTAAAATTAACATACTTGTCCTATTTAGCCTAGCCTTAAGCTTGTTAGTTGAAGAGAAATCATATGTCAAAACATGTAAAAAAAACTGGTTCTTGTTATTCCATAGAATACATTTAAAAGTGAAAATTAATTGAAAGACAAGCAAACAATTGTACGTTAACAAACAATTGAAATCAGTAGCACCAACTTACCTCTAATTTTTAGCTGAACGGTTGTATCTCAGTCATAGAAAGAAAGGGAATACATGTGTAGAAACAAATCCTATTCAGCGCATTGTTGTTTGGCAAAACTCTTCCAAATGCTGTCTGCATCAATATGTTATTGCCTGTGTTGCTATGTTACTGGGTGTTGTCTACATTTGCGCCCAATCTTGGAATATTTTACTGCCATCCATGCACAAATGGACTGTTCCAAAATTACCCCGGCGAAAAAATGAAGCATTCCCATATTATGTCCGGACAAAATTGTACTACATGCATTTCAAAATCAGGTCCAAATGGAATTATTGATCATTATGACCCCCATGCAAAAATGGACTCTACCTAAAATACCCCCATGCAATAATGGGCTCTTCCAAAACATTATTTCTATGCAAAATGGACCAATCCACACCTATCTCTCGTGGGAAAAATACCCCTATACCCAAGTATGGCAACAGGTGGTACTTTTTCCTGTACATTTCCGGCGGTCGAAAAAAACGGCTTAGTTTCCATGCGCCAGTATGTGCAGGGGATGTAGCTCAGATGGTAGAGCGCTCGCTTAGCATGCGAGAGGTACGGGGATCGATACCCCGCATCTCCAACTTTTTTTTTTTGCTCAATACTTTTTTTTACTTCTTATTATTAATAGCTATGAAGTATTTTTTTCTAGAACGTGGCATTAAAAACGAAAAATTCGTGTTGAATTCTTTCGAAAATAAAGTCCACAAATTATTACAATTGTCAATGTGAAAACTTGAAGATCCAAGATTGAACAATATTAAAATTTAATTCTATCAATATATTCGTCTTCTTGAATACTCGAAATGTGTACATGCAATATATTCGGTGAAGTCTCATGTGAACATGTGACGTAACAGCACCTATCTTCACAGAATCTAGGTCAAAGGTCAATGACCTCACAGTAGCCTTACATAACTTCTCCCTCTCCTATCTCAGTCTAAGTATTCCAGTGCTAATCTCCAAGCAGATCTTTCGGTGGGGGAAAGACAGTATCAAATTTGCCAGCCTGTAACCACATTTGCCTGACAGTATCCATTTCCCCACCGAATGTGGCTAATGGACACTCCTCTGGCCAACGGATAATGCCTTGCCACCGTATGATCTGCTTGGAGATAACTCCAGTTCCAGTACTGGAATTATATGACACTTTGGTCCTCAGAAGAATCTGTTTCCATTCTGTCACATTATAAACCACTTGCAGAACCTACAATCGGCTGATTTCATTCACCTGTTTTTTAAATATGAAAAGAAATTGAACAGACAATAAGTGGAAATTTTGTACCTTTTATTCATACAGTATATACAAGTACTGTGTTACTGATCTTTTCAGCATGTACTGTTCGGTCAACACTGTACGTCAACTTGTCATCCAACCACTATTGCATTTTACAATTATACTTATAACTGTTATAAGACAAAACAATATTTAGGGAATCATATGACCTTGTTCCATTACTGACTAAAGGCCCCAGTATACACAAGTAACAGCATTTATACATAAACCACTTTAACTATGGATATTATACCTCAAAAAACGGTGGTAAAACAGAAAAATTTTCTCCTCAAAACATTTTCAATTCTCCTCTTATAACACATCTCTACTTATCCTGAAGCATTGACTGTTTAGAAATTATACTGTCTGAGATTTTTTTTTCATATCGGAAAAAGTAAATACACAAATGACAGTTAAAGTTGACTTTTTTTTTAAAGAAATGGGTGAACATTACTTTCTACATGAACTCACTGAACTTCAATCATCCCAACAAATTGAACAATTTGACCTCTGTAGAATATGTGCTAATAACAATCTTTAGAGTATAGAATACCTTTACACAATCTCTTATGCAATAGAGACATTCTATGGCAGTAAAATGTTTAGGATATTTCACTGTGTTTTGCATGTTTCAGTGTTTCCCTCAAGAGACAAAAAGGATAAGCTTGGTAAGACTTTGCGATAAATCCTGGCTTGTTTACATCATTGACAATACTGAAAAGCAATCTATTGAATTCTGAGATACTAGTCCATGTACGATGTATGATTGTACATGTACGTGTACACTGCACTATTATCTAACTTGAATGAAAGACACTGTCTTTTTCCTTAGCTATGCCATTATGACAATGTTATGTGGGCAAAAGTGTGGAACAATTGGATGGAGTCCTTTCCCTGTCAACCGAGAATTCTTGTGCTACAAATACGTCAAAGGTAGAGCTGTCATTATATTTCACTACCCCTTTAAAGAAACAGTGGGTAACCCCAGTGTTTTAACTTACATATTTCCTTCTTAGAGTTCCTTCCTGGAGTTGTATATGCCTCAGGAAAGATAACACAAGTGTAATTATCATATCTACAATTTGGTTAAACATGTTCCCAACACTGTTTTCCAACTTATACCTGTAGAAATTGTATCAATGGAAGAATTTTGCACCAGTCCTCACCACAAAAATATTTACCACAACAAGGATAATATACTGTGTTTTTGCACTGTCTGATTAGCACTCATTGCACTGATTGTGACATTACATGAAACTGTTTACAAGTCCCGTATTAAAGTTCATCTTTGACCTTAACCTCCACATTAATGTCTGTCTCTTTGAGCCTCGCTTCTTCCTCCTCTGCGTGTTTGCGAATGATTTTCTCTGGGGGTTGAGCCTTGTCCACGAGTAGGACTTCTACCGTGCCGTGATCCTTGATGGCGTCCATCAGAAGGTGGCCTTCCTTTTGGAACAAGAAGACACTTGGGATGTAGACATCTTTCACACCGTCCCCCGACATGGCGAATACCGGTGAGGTGTCGCTGCTCGTGCCCTGGGTGTTGTCGATCACGATGGCGGCCGCGGCACCCGCGTCCTGCGCCCGACGTGCCTTTTCGATGAACATGCAGCTGCCACGCTCCATCAGGACGATCTTGTCGCGAACCTGAGCTGCGTTGGCGAGATCTGTACACCCTTTGATGGATTCACCGATCACGACGGTGCCCGAAACTCCCGGGGTGCCGACCAGGTCCGGTCCGAACTGCGCTGGTCCCGCTGTGAGCACGACGCTGCCCAGGAATGGCGGTGAGGTGAGCTGTACGACGCGCGGCTGCAGGTCGCTCTCGCCCTGCGTTTTCGACAACTCGATCATCTCCTGCATGAAGCGCATGCCTTCCTCTGCGTCATCCGGAGAGAAGGCCTGCGTGGAAGTGTGGAGGAGCTGCACGCGGCCGTCCTGCATCGTCACCAGCCGTATCCCCATCTTCCGCAGGGCCTGGATGTGTTCTGGATTGTCGGCGATAAAGTCACGAGCGCGCAGAGTCGGCTTCCTGCTCGCTTGTACTTTCTCCCTTGGTCTTGCGGAGGTCGGTTTGGGGCACCGTTGCTCCACAAAGTCTTTCAGCGGATGTCGTATTGTCTTCGCGTACGTCTTGTGTCCGGGAAAGAGGTAGTTGACATTGGGACATGACTGTTGGTACTTGCGGTCGGATGCAGTGGGGAAAGTTGTGACGGTAACTGTCGGAGAGTCGTTCTGCGTACCGTTCACAAACGAGGTTGCGAGCCGGAGAGGAAGCAAGTGCGCCTCTGTCGTAAACACGTAATCGTCCAGATCCAACCACAGGTCTTCCTCTTCTGTGAAGAGCAGGTACAGGTATTTGAACGTTTCCGCGAGGAAGTACGAATCCATCCTGTCCTCGTGGCTCCCTGTCCTTACATCTTTCAAGCCTGCAAACCCACAGGGAACCCGAGCATGGCGCTGGATGTTCTCCATGATGGTCTTTCCCACCCCGAGGTAGTACGGATCGCCTGTTGCCTTGTACAGGAAATATGTGCTTTCTACGAGTTCAGGTCTGAGAGGATGTTGTGGCCAGTGTACTTTAAAGTCTGTGGTGAAGGCTTCAGGTAGGAAACTGTGCCTCTGTAAGACTTGATACAGCATCTCATGTGTCTCGATGGCCGGTTTGATGTCGCCCGTCAGGACTTGCAGACCTGGCCAGAACGCCAACAGGGAGTCCATGAAGTTGCGTGAGACGACGTTTGGCTTGTGCATGTGCACGTCCAGCAGCAATGGGCCTTGGCTAATGTATCGCATGACAGCAGCGTAGTGTGTGTTGAATCTCTCCAGGAATGCCGCGTCCCCCAGTAACATGTAGGCCTTGAACAGGTACTCGTAGTAGGAGTCAATCCCCGCCCCCACCCCCGACTCCCGTCGGACCCAGTCTCCTGTGTGAATGTTGATAACGGTTCCTACCAGGTCACTGGACCGTTGTCGGCGCTCCCACAAGAACTGCATGGCCTTGCGGGCCTTCTCTTCGAATATAGGGTCCCCCGTCAGGCGAGAAAGCGCAGCAAATTCCAGAATCATGGTACCGGCGCAGGCGGTGCAGGTGTCGGTCTCCGTACCGGTACGAGAGCGTCCCTTGACGATCCCGTGGCGTAGGTTGACGCGAGGGTACGGCATGCCCGTGGTGGTGTTGAAGGCTGGGAGGAGTCGATAGCCACACTCCTTCGCCAGTGTAAGCAGTTCGTCCCTATACCACTGCATACGCTCACCTTGGTCCCTGAGAAGACTGGCCACAACGTGCCCCCCAAGAAGCCCCCCTAGAACCCTAATATTGGTCTCAAACACCGACACAACGACGTCGTTGTTCAAGCTGACTTGCAGGATTATCATCTTAACGGCGTCTTCGAACTTATCTAAGTGTCCTAGCACGGCGAGGGTGTCTAGTGTGTCTATGAGGGTTAGAGAGTAACCTCCCAGAATGTCGTCCACGTCCCCTCGGCTTGGGTCGACTCCGCGAACCCGTCCCTTGCAGCTGAGCGGCATGAGTTCGTCTGCAGGGTAGGCGTACGTCAGGTAGGAGCTGTAGGCGTGGTCGAACATCTCTAAAACTTGTTTCTTGGCCTGGAGTTTCTCTTTGGAAGTCATGACCTGAACACCGGCCGCATTGTCCACTTGAACGACAGCGAGTAGGAAAATGACGCAAACATAGACGCCGAGTTCCAGCCCCGGCGCCGCCCATCCTGCCGTTCCGCCGCACATCGTCCACTAAGGAAGATCAAGAAGTATTTAGTTTTCCCCCAGTTACGACATCGTGGCTACAAAGTCCTTGATTTTGCCATTTTCCTTAAAAATTGAAGACAGTTCCGGTTCCACGTAGCAGACCCTACCAACGCCATATTGATTTTGGTTACGTCACGAGTGCGAGGTATGGCTTGGTCTGGAATATGGTAGGACGGCCACGAAAGACGGCCACGCCGCTATTGGTCAATTTCTCAGCAAGCTCCACGCTGCTATTGGTCGGGGTACCAGCTGCTGCAGTGAGGGATAGCTAGCGGTGGGGAGGGCTGCCGGCGTTTATCCACAACTTTTAGGGGCAAAAAAACGTCAACCATTACGACTATAATCACTCCACTTGCGTGGATAAGCCACAAACAGTCATTTGTGCGGCTCTTAGCTCTGGAAACCTTACAGGTAATGAGTGCGTGAGGGACTTGGGTCTAGATTACGTTTACGCGTACGCGTATACGGGAAATACTTTCCATGGGCCTTTCATAATGTAGGGACCAGGTAAGCACCGTACAGGTGATATTTGCGTGGCCCTTTCATCTGGAGACCAGGTAAGGAACCGTACAGGTGATATTTGCATGGCCCTTTCATCTGGGAACCAGGTAAGGCACCGTACAGGTAATATTTGCGTGGCCCTTTCATCTATGGACCAGGTAAGGCACCGTACAGGTAATATTTGCGTGGCCCTTTCATCTGGGAACCAGGTTAGGCACCGTTCAGGTAATGTTAGTGTAGCCTTTTCATCTGGTGACCAGGTAAAGCACCCTATAGGTAAACTTTGCATGGCCCTTTCCTCTTTGTACTAGGTATGTCACCGTACAGGTAATATCTGAATGGCCCTATTATCTGGAGACAAAAGTAAGGTACCATATACTAGTAGGTAATGTTTGTATGGTTTATAGGTTTTGGGGCCCGGTAAGACCATACAATTTATATTTGTTTGTTTGTTCTTTTTGATTTTTTTCGTCAATGACATTTTTATATACTAGTGTTTAGATTGCTAGTGTCTAGAATATTTCTTTTCTTTTTTTTCAGGGCATTTGCCAGAAAGGAGAAACTGATTGCACAGCAGGAAATGGAGATGTCAATGCATTAAATTCTGGAATTGTTGGAAGTGCCAGCTTTAGTTCATAACAACAACATGAATACTGAACCCTGACTTATGTTATCACGTTCTTTCTCTGAAGTAGAATAACTAGAGGTGGATTGTAGTGTTGAACTGTAGAACTATTCTGTGTTCGCTTATTTATTTGTTTTCTATTCTTCCGTGTTGCATGTTTGAGAATATTTTCTAAAACTGTTTCAAGCATAACATATAGTAACTAGATTCATTACCTATAGTACTTGTAGATATTACCAGTTTATTTTGATACATGTATATTATTTTCAACACCATTCAATTATTATTAAAGCTGAAATACACGTTTTCACTCTTGTTTCCATAGACTTTCATTTCCAGTGTAGTTCAAGTCAGTATATGATTCAAGAATAGCAAGTGTACAGCATTAAAATCATGTATCCCAACATAATACTTGAACGCACTAATGTCGCCAAGAAGCAAGCAATTGATAGAAGTTATTATTGTGTAAATGGTGTAAAGGACAGTAGAATCAAAGGTATTATAGGGATTAGGAATTCGCATTATTGAAAAGGACAGCCTTAAACCCTTTTCAAAGGCTGCACTCAAATCTTTCTTGAGGAATGTAAACCTTTGTTTTCAATTGTTTGGAGAACTCTATGCTTTAATGACTCAAATTTCAACAGAATATATAACTCAATGGCCAATTACGGCATCAGACGGAATTCATACAGCCACTTTCTAAACTCCCATGAACATACCAGCCGAATTTGAAACCAATCCGTTCAGATTTACTTTTAGTTACTTTTAAGCTTTCAGCTCGCGCTTTCAAAGGCTATGTTGCGCATAGACAAATCTAGATCGATTATAGCCGCATCATATGAAATTGCATTTTCCTTTCTAGACCGAGAAGGAAATAATATTTTGGGATGAAACGTCGACATTAGTATCCTGAAATACCGATATATCTGCGTTGTTAGCAGATCTGCTCTTTTTCCATTCCTTTTGGTAGATACAGGTCAGTCATTTGGCTTCATTTTTTGGTCGTGTCCCAATACCCAACTGAAATGTGCGGTATTTCAATAATAAGGTAGAGTTAGGGATTCACATTATGAAATAGACATAATATTCTACATAGGTCTGGTTAGGACCTTTCAGTGGTATCACCACTTCCTTTTTCATGGGCTGCACCTAGTCTTTTTGGAGGAATGTCAACTTATATTTTGAAAAGTTGTGAGAGAGCAAAGAATGCCCTTGGAGAGATGTGTGCTTTCATGAAGAAATTTCAATTGAAAATAACTCAATGACTAATTATAACATCAACATGGGAATCCATACAGTAACTTTGTAAGCTTCAATGAACATACCAGCCGAATTTGAAAGAAATCCATTCAGTTTTAGACGAGATATGGAAACCGACACGATTTCAGCTCGCGCGAAGCGAGGTCGCCTTCAAACCGTTCTGTTTTGACAATTGTAGGTCGATTTTGACCGCATCACGTAACATTGCGTTTTCCTTCCTAGACCAAGAAGGAAATGACATTTTGAAATGAAACTTGGACATTAGTATCCTGAAATACTTATCTATCTCTGCTGTAAACAGATTTACTCTTTTATGAATTTTCGTAAAGCTATAAGCAATTCATTTGGCCCCATTTTTCGGCCATGCCCCAAAACCCCACTGAAATGTGCGGTATTGCAATAATAAGGTAGATTTAGGGATTTACATTATGAGACATAATCTTTTATAGACGTCTGTTGAGTACCTTTCAGTGGTATCGTCACTTCCTTTTTCTATGGTTGCACCTAGTCGTTTCGGAGGAATGTCAACTTATATTTTGAAACGTTGTGCGAGATGTATGCTTTCTTGAAGAAATTTCAATTGAAAATAACTCGATGACTGATTATGACATCAGCATGGGAATTTATACCATAACTTTGTAAGCTTTTATGAACATATCAGCCAAATTTGAAAGAAATCCGTTCAGTTTTAGACGAGATACGGAAACCGACACGATTTCAGCTCGCGCGAAGCGAGGTTGCCTTCAAACCGCTATGTTTCGCATACTATTTATTAGGCAATTCTAGGTCGATTTTGACCGCACCACGCAAAACTGCGTTTTACTTCCTAGACCGAGAATGAAATGATATTTTGAAATGAAACTTGGACATTAGTATCCTGAAATACTGGTCTATTTCTGCTGTTAACAGATTTGCTCTTTGGTGAATTCTCGCAAAGCTACAAGCAATTCATTTGGCCCCATTTTTCGCTCATGCCCTAAAATCTCACTGAAATGTGCGGTATTGCAATGATAAGGTAGATTTAGGGATTTACATTATGAAATGGACATAACCTTTTATATACGTCTGTTGAGAACCTTTCAGTGGTATCATCACTTCCCTTTTCATTGGTTGCACCTCGTCGTTTCGGAGGAATGTCAACTTATATTATGAAACGTGCATTGTGAGAGATGTATGCTTTTATGAAGAAATTTCAATTGAAAATAACTCGATGACTGATTATGACATCAACATGGGTATTCATACCGTAACTTTGTAAGCTTCAATGAGCATACCAGCCAAATTTGAAAGAACTCCATGTAGTTTTAGATGAGATACGGAAACCGACACGATTTCAGCTCGCGCGAAGCGAGGTCGCCTTCAAACCGCTATGTTTAGCATAGACAATTCTAGGTCAATTTTGACTGCATCACGCAAAATTGCGTTTTCCTTTCTAGACCGAGAATGAAATTATATTTTGAGCTGAAACTTAGCTATTAGTATCCTGAAATACTTATCTATCTCTGCTGTAAACAGATTTGCTCTTTGATGAATTTTCGTAAAGCTACAAGCAATTCATTTGGCCCCATTTTTCGGCCATGCCCAAAACCCCCATTGGAATATGCGGTATTGCAATGATAAGGTTGATTTAGGGATTTACACTGTAAAATGGACATAATCTTTTATACACGTCTGTTGAGTACCTTTCAGTGGTACCACCACTTCCTTTTTTATCGGTTGCACCCAATCGTTTTGTAGAAAAGTCAACTTATATTTTGAAAAGTTGTGAGAGATCTATGCAATTGAAAATAACTCAATGACTAATCATGACATCAGCATGAAAATTCATACCGTAACTTTATAAGCTTTTATGAATATACCAGCCAAATTTGAAAGAAATCCGTGTAGGTTTAAGCGAGATACGGAAACCAACACGTTTCAAGCTCCCGCGATGCGAAACCGTCTTCAAACCGCTATGTTTCGCAAAGACAATTCTAGCTCGATTTTGACCGCATCGCCCAAAATTGAGTTTTACTTTCTAAATCGAGAATGAAATGATATTTTAGGATGAAACTTCGACATTAGTATCCTGAAATGCTGATCGTTGTGTGTTGTTAACAAATCTACTCTTCTTCCATTCCTTTTGGTAGATACAGGTCAGTCATTTGGCTTCATTTTTTGGGCATGTCCTAAACCCCACTGAAATGTGCGGTATTGCAATAATAAGGTAGAGTTAGTGATTTACATTATGAAATAGACATAATCCTCTACATAGGTCTGATACCTTTCAATGGTATCACCACTTCCTTTTACAATGGTTATACCGAATCGTTTTGAAGGAAAGTAAAGGTATATTTTAAAGGTTGTGACAGATGTTTGAATGAAGCAAATTTTGATTGAAAATAACTCAATGACTAATTACGACATCAGCACGGGAACTCATACAGTAACTTTGTAAGCTTCAATGAACATATCAGCCAAATCTTAAAGAAATCTGTGCAGTTTTAGACGAGATACGGAACCCGCGGCCGGTACGTTTTAAGCTCGCGTTATGTTCCGAAAGCCCTATGGTCCGAAATCTTTATGTTCCGAAAGCCCTTTGTTCCTTTCTAAAATGCCCCGAATTAAGTATCAAACACATACCCGAATGCTATTTCTACATGTAGCATGTATATAATGTGAAATCTGGAGATGTTTTGAAAAAATCTCCAGATGTTTTCAAAAAATTTCGAGATTTTTTTAAAACATCTACAGATTTTTTCAAAACATCTCGAGATGTTTTTTCAGAATTTTAATTTGAAACTAGTTTTACTAAGGTTGGTCAAAATCTAAATTTCGTCCCGGGGAAGTTTTAATTCACATTCTTCTAGTACGTATGTAATCGTACCCAAACAACCATGCAGTCATGCTCATTCAGCAGCTCAAGAGTTTTTGTGTCAGTCATAGTCAGAGGCATATTAAGGGCACATTCTGTGTATTTGCATATTTGTTCCTGACTTCAAAGACAATGTACAAGAAAGACAATTGAAAACGAATACTAGTAGGTGTAGTTTGACTTTAATAACTGCATTGAGCGAAGAATGTACACATATAAGATACATGTATATATAGTAGGAGTAGTCTTACAGAATTAAATTCAAAACAACAGAATGTACTCTACATACAAGTCACTATTAGAATATTCTATAAGAGGTTTTAGAAACTGATTCTTACAGGTTTTAGAAACTGATTCTTACACGTGTCCCTCAGAACAATATAAATGGACCAAAATAATCAAGAAAGCACATACCGGTACTTAGCTCTACATTTTGTTACTAGAATCCACTTCCAGTTATTCTAATTTTGGAGTAAATTCCTAACAGACTTCACCATTCATGTTGTTGCTATAAACTAACCCTAACACTGTTAAAGTCGGTACTTCGAACCATTCTAGACAGCTTCTCGTCCTTCAAAGGGCCAAAGAACCAAATAATCAAAGGTCCCTAAGAATCACACAAATATTCTTTTCAAGTACCTTAACTAGTTTCTACATAAAAGGGCCACACAAATTATAAATAATATGGTGCCTTACCTGCTCCTCAGATGAAAGACCCACGTCAATATCACCTGTACGGTGCCTTACTTGGTTGAAAAATGAAAGGGCCACGCCAATATCACCTGTACGGTGTCTTACCTAGTCTCCAGATGAAAGGGCCACACAAATATTACCTGTACTGTGCCTTACCTGGTCCCCAGATGAAAGGGCCACGCCAATATCACCTGTATGGTGCCTTACCTGGTCCACAAATGAAAGGGCCACGTAAATATTACCTGTACGGAGACTTACCTGGTTCCCAGATGAAAGGGCGACGCCAATATCACCTGTACAGTGCCTTCCCTAGTCCCGAGATGAAAGGGCCACACAAATATCACCTGTACGGTGCCTTACCTGCTCCCCAGATGAAAGGGCCACGCAAATATCACCTGTACGGTTCCTTACCTGGTCCCCAGATGAAAGGGCCACGCCAATATCACCTGTATGGTGCCTTACCTGGTTCCCAGATGAAAGGGCCACGCAAATATCACCTGTACGGTGCCTTACCTGCTCCCCAGATGAAAGGGCCACGCCAATATTACCTGTACGGTGCCTTACCTTGTTCCCAGATGAAAGGGCCACGCCAATATCACCTGTACAGTGCCTTCCCTAGTCCCCAGATGAAAGGGCCACGCCAATATCACCTGTACGGTGCCTTACCTGGTTCCCAGATGAAAGGGCCACGCAAATATCACCTGTATGGTGCCTTACC